AACAGAATGGGTTATGTACAGCAAATTGCTAATATAACGACGGCAATTAGTGAAACATTAGCTCGTAAATCTTAAGTCACTTTTTTTGTCACCCAGAATCTTCGGAGCTATTTTTACAGGCAACAGGAAGTGACATCATGCACTGTCATGTGTACTTGACTTTCAGTCATGTAATCCAGGGGTTAATTTTCTATATTATATATATTTGATTTTTTTTATCACTCCCACACTTGCACATTTTGTTCTCATTTGAAAAAAATGGAAATAGTTAAAGGTATGAAATCGCTGATCGATCTGCCGGCACCCAACCCCCAGCCCATTCAAAAGGTGGGGAAGCCCTGATGTAGCTCAGTCTTTAGTATCCTAGCTACCTTCCCTAGTGAATTTAATGGCTGCTGTGTGCTTGGACTGCAGGTGTTGACCCCCACCCCCGACTGTTGTACTGCAGCTGATTTAGTTTGGCTCTGTTTCTGTTTTTTTCATGCCTGTAATTTGCATTTGGGGGGGTGGGGAGCAGCCAAGGCAGTTGCAACTTCACCACAGAGGCTTGTCACAAAAGATGTCACCCTCACCTGCACCCTGATCTCCATGCCTGCCTCCACATTGCAAAATGCTCAGAAACTCAAGGAGCCAGTGGAGGCCTCCGGAACATTCCGCTTGTGCCTTACGGAGCTTATATGTCAGCGTCCACGGTGACTCAAGACCACGCATTGGGTGGCTCCTTCCGGCAGAGCGGGGAGGGTGGCGAGGTGCTGTCATCACGCAGTCCACACGCTATCATCATACTGTCCACATGCTGTCGTGAGCCTGTCAGGACGCGCTGCAGGGGGCGCAGGCTGTATTATTATCTCTCTGCAGGGTTCGGGAAATGCGCAGAAAGATACACGCAGCCTGAGCGTGTGCAGGCAGTGAACAAAACGCAGCCTCTGTGCTTTCACAACAACAGCTTGGTGATGCTATCTAAATTTACGCTGATATCATTAGTGGTTGATTAGGCCCCTGCAACAAATGAAATCTCTAGGTGATTTGAAGAAACAAAAACATCCTGGCAACACCAAGAGCATAACAATCTCAAGGGCTCGAAATCAATGAAGCACAGTAGCATTAAAGCGCTGTTTGAGTTGATGACACACCTCAAATATATGCAACACTATGTACCTATAATTATATTGTGAGGTATTTTAGTTTAAGAGTTGTTGCAGGTTCAAGGCTGTGAATTGTGTGTCGTAGATGCAGCCATCTTCTGATAGATAACAGAGTTGAGAGAATTTGGCAGAACAAAATGCTTCACTACTGTTTCAGGAACCAGCTGCTCTTCATGATGGGGTCCCTTCTCCATCAGCCAAGAGGGACAGGCCTATATCTGCTTTCAAAGGGCATTAAGTAGATGACACAACTCCTTAGTTGCCAGTGTCATCAAAGGGCAAGGTGGTGTAGAAATCGCTCCAGGGGTAAACAACGTTTATCTCTGCTAAGAATCTGTGTAAGCATATTGTGTCTAATAAGGTAAGATTCAGTAACACATTTTATGCAGTTTTCCTAAGCAAGGACTTACACTAAGCAAATAACATGGATTGATAGACACAACATTAATTTTATCAGGGTGAGCGTGATATGACAGATTATAGCTCCAGCACTGCAAGCCGCTGGCTTGTAAAATTTAATCAGCAGCAGGAATCTCTTTTGTTACCCATCATGTCACCCTGTCATTGTGTGTCAGAATAGCACATACTGTATTCGCGTGTGTGAGGTGAAAATCCCTGACTGACGTGACCTATGCTCAGGAAGTCAATCAGAGCTGTCCACGCCTGTCACCCTGAAACGCTTCCCTTGTTCTAGAGTAATAATGTGCACACATGCATGCCCTTAGGTGCAATTTATATGCTGTGGCAGCAGAATTTGGTGAGGGGCTTTATGGGGCTCTGTGTGTTAGGGTACTGGGCCTGTGATCAGAAGGTTACCAGTTTAAAGTTCAGTTTCAGCAGAGTGATGTCGTTGTTGGGCCCTTAACCCCAATTTTTCCAAGGACTATCTTACCCTGCTTTCTAAAAAAACGCTGTTTTGGATGTTATCATCTCCTAAATAAAAGAAAAATGTCAATATAAGAGGTGTAAGGGGTCGCGCAGTGGTTAGTGCTGTTGTCTCACACCTCTGGGACTGGGGTTTGCCCCAGCTGCATGTGTGTGGAGTTTGCATGTTCTCCACGTGTTATCATAATAAGCTGCTAAGGTGACGTGGTGTCACACAGGTGTGAATGGTGTGTGTTCTCTATGATGGGTGGGCACCCCCTCCTGGGTTATTTGCTGTCTTGCGCTTATAGCCTCTGGGATAGGTTCCAGACCCCTGCGACCCTGCAGGTACAGAAAATAGATGGATGGATGGATGGATGGATATAAGAAATGTAGATGATTCCTGGTGCTGCCACAAGGTTTTTAGCATTTTGCACATAGAGATTTTTTCCCCCAAATCATCCTCAACTCCAAGGTCACTGGAGAAATGCTCCATCCCTCCCTTCCTGGGATTGCAGTAAAACTCTATCATGAGCATCAATCCTGTGGTGTGGTGGGGTGGAGGGGGGAGGCTACACTGCGCCCCCAGATACCTGCTGCAGCTTCACACTGCCAGGTTCTTTGGAGGTACAAACAGCAAAGGCATTTTGGGAAATGGAGTGGCAAAATTTTACATGATTGCCCCTTTGAATTAAAACCCTTTCTTCTCCTAGTTTTATAGTCTCATGAGGAACCTCCTTTGCAGAAATGGTTACAAAACACCAGCATTTTGTGTCTGCAGTGCCAAATGGACAAACTGGGGTCATTAAACAACATTTGCAAACATAGTGAATAATTCACACTGCAATCAGAGAAATTGTGTTTGCATTCCTTGTTACAGTGTTATCAGCAAGCACGCCTCAAAGGGGGCAATCTTAACATTGCCCCAGGCCCAGGGAAGAGAAGCAGAGGCAGTAGAGAGTGAGAGGAATCACAGATTTTGCTCCTGGACCTAAGAAATCCTAGCTACATTATTGATTATCAAGTAATGCCTGCCAGATAGTTAGTAATGAATCTCATAGGCTCCCTTCATGTGCTGTTTGATGGGCGTTATGTGTGAAGGGCTGTAAGTGGCTCATTTCTGCACTTCCTTTGCTGACCCCTATGCTGTCCACCTCACTACAACACAGAGCTTATAACGCAGCCTTAGGATTGGCTGGCTACCCCTACAACCTTGTGTATCCCTTAAAAATACACAATACACCTTAAACACAAAGAAAAAGGTTCAGGGCAAGCAAATTGTCTGCAAGGGATCCTGAAGAAATCCTAATGTGAGCTGCAATACCATTTAGTCAGAGCACACAGTAGCATGTGTAAGCGATGCATCAAATAATGTAATTACAATGTAAAACTGGCACTAGGCCAGATGCCAAGAGATGCTGCATCTGAAGGTGACAGGAAGGTGCTTTCAGTCCTCTGGAGCAGCTGGAATATTCTGCCCTGTCCACAGTTGTGGGATGTTTGCCTTCAATCAGGAGCTCCAGCCTGATTAGCTGTGGTGATGCAGCTGCCCGTTAACACTGACTCTGCAGGCGGAGCGACAGCATGAGCGAGGCCGTTCTTCATGCCCAATAGGGAGGCGTCACAGCCTTGGCTTGTTTGGGATCGGAGGGTTGAGGTTATTTTCTCACGTAATCATTTAGCCTTGAGCCGCCACTGATAAGGGTGACTGTAAATCTGCTTAGAGTGTAGCTGGATGTATAAGCTCAGCCTCCGTCGTGTTCAGGATGAGGCTGCGTGGTACTGAGCATTAGATTTATGCAGAGTACAGACCCCCTTCCCCCTAACCCCCGCGCTATAAAGACAGTCAGGGAGACTTCAGTCCTGAGCACATCGTGGCTGGCAGGTTAGTCCCTAATTTAGCCCTTTAGCATCCTGCTCCTGAAGGTTATAGCAGTATTTACAAATGGCGCATCATGTGACCCCCAAACACCAGGTGAAATCAATGCTGCTCAGATAGTGACTTCAATCGATTGAGATTAAGAGCTGGTGACAGACTGAAGCACACTGCTGATCCGTGGGCTGGGGTTTCCCAGGCTGCTCTTAAATGTTTAAATGCTCGGCTGCTACACAGAAGAGCAATGGACCAATATGCTTGGATACATGTGTCCTTTCAGCCAGTCTGATCATCCAGGCCTATCCTAAGAGGGCACTGGGCAGCGCATGACCATGAAATCAGATAGAAATTAGCTGACCAAAGTGCAGAATAAGCCTTATTGCCGTTGTTAGAATAATTATTATTAGTTATTAGCAAAATGATCATACTTCACTCGTGCATGTTTCTAATGGAAGAAATATGGTGGTTTTTGCCCTTTGCTACAGGTTAGTGCCCTTAGCTATTTTAATGCATTCTGCTGTTCATCCGTCCCCTTGACCTGGCCATAGCTGGTAGGGAACCATGAAGCCACCAAGCTCTTTGATTGGCTGCTCTTGGCACCCTGACAGATGATGGGATTGGATGGGGGCAGTGGCAGGGATTGATGAATGTGCACTATATTTACGCACTTGGTTAAAACACTGAAGATCATACTGTGTGTATCTGCCTATATTACTTATTAAAATATTGCTCCCGCAGACTCAACAAAACCAAACTCAGCTCGTGCTCTCTTGCAGGTGTGAAGAGATGGGGGGATGGGAGGGGCTTTGCTGCTCCTGCTACCAGAGTTTGATTAGACATGTCTGCGCACAGAGCAGGTGCAGGGGGAATAGCAGGCTAATCTACTTTCAGCCTGAAGTCTATTCACAATTCAGATAGGCGTCATAGTCAAGAAATGGTCTCTCTCCCTCCTTCTGCCGCTGTGCATCTCCTGGCCCAGCCCTCCCTTCTCGCTCCTACCTCCTCTCTCTCTCTGACCTGCCTCCTCGCACTCGCTCTCCCTCTCTATCGCTCCAGCATCCTCCGCACTTACTTGCTGTGACAGAAGCCAGCTTCCCCGTGACAGAGCTGCTCTTTGCAACCCTCTCCTCCGCAGCTCAAAGGAGGGATATACAAGCTGCACAGAACTGGGCGGGGGGGGGCACTGGTGGGGTCGACTGTGGCCATTTTGGGGTGTTGAACTGTCTCCTCTAGACCAGCCTAGATGAAACTTTCGTGGTTTTTGCTCTTCATATAAGAAAAGTTTTGCGAAGAATGTTTTCACGCGAACGGATGTTATGGAGGGTGAGCTGTACATACAGCACAGTCTGAACGATAGGATACATTCTCACATTTCAGCAACTAGCTACCAAAATCTGGCTAAACTTTATGTTTTTACCCATGCGGGTGAGTGTTGAACTGTATCTAGCTGGTGGATAGCTCTAAAACCTGCAGACAACTCTACTCCCAGGGTAGCGCCACGGGGTGAAACTATCTAGACCTCCACTGCCAGGGGGCGATGTGGGTGAGTCCCAGGACTGCCACATGCTTCCACTGAGTCCTCGAACCCTGGCGAATGGGATGGCGGCCCAGGCTCAGCTCCTAGCCCTGCTTCTCCTTCTCCTGTGGAGTCTGATGTCCAGTGTGGCTGCTGAAGGTCCAGGAAGGCATAAGATCAGGTGGAGGCCAAAGGAGAACAGGATCCGTGAGTAGCTTCAGCCATTCGTCCATTCGTCTCTCCTTCCCCTTGCCCCGCTTTATTGGTGCCTGGTCCCTTTAAGGAAGAGGGAGCTTTGGTGCTGCCTATGGTGGGAACAGCCTTTAAAAGACTGTACACTAATCACTGCTCTGTGTCCTTGTGGGAAAGGAGAGGGGGAAAGGATAGAGAGATGAAAAAGCACTTGTTGTCTCTGTCACATCTCCTCTATGGTTTTGGCCCTTTTTTTTTCTTTTGAAGCTTTGTTGTGTCAAGTCAAAGTTCTGTTTCTGCTCATCCTTCCTCTCTCTTTTCTCTTCCTCTCACTGCTTCTTTTCTCTACATTAGCTCGCAGGCCCTCATTAAGGGAGGGTTTTCAAAGGGGTTGATCGTGGCGTGTCAGGGGGCGGGAGGGCTGGGGAGCGTCTCAGACGAGTACCGGCTGCTGAATGTTGTGTGTGAGCAGGAGAGAGAGCCCCCTTTCAGTGGCACCATTACGGCCTTCTGCCCTCTGGTGGGATTGTGTGGCTGCTGCTTCAGGTTGGCTGAGTTCTCATCGATTGACCAGCAGCTGACTTCTGCCTTTCATATCTGTGTGCTGACACAGATACTCAGCAGGCTGATAGGCACCTACGTCTGCTGACTGGCATGGCTTCGCCCATGACGCGTGTATGTACTCGTGTGTGTTTTCCTGAACTGACCATCCAAATTCATCCATAGTCACACCTATTCCAGTACTTGCTAGTGTATCGCTCTAGACTGGGTACCTTCCGCAATGCAAACAGCTACATGTACTGCTGTCAAGGCTGCCTTGAAAGAGTGTTTGGTGTCTGGGCATATGGGAAACCATCAGATTGTACTGACACAGTAAGGTATGAGTCTTCCTGTATGTCAGAAGCCTGCCTGTTTATTTTCAGCAATCAGCCAACCAGAAAGAGGTGATGCGTCTCCATTTCCACCTGCATGGCATCCTGAGTAATAATCTGAGTGATGGCGGGCAGCCACTTTGTCAGGGCGCAGTGACGGCGTAATGATCTGCATGTGTGGCTGCCTCCTTCCAGCCTTCACATCTATGGCTGCATGATTACCCAGCTCCTCTGCTCTACTTACCAGCTCAGCAATATGCGAGTTGGGCCCAGATTCAGCACATAATCTTACAGTCATACCCAAAGACTCACACTCAAGCATCTTAGATTCTCCTCCAATTGCCTCCAGACTCGACCTTCCTGATACGTTTTATGTTTTTGAACAGAGAAGAATGAGATTTCATATGGAGGTGCTGTTCAAATGGGACTGTCAGCAACTACTGAATGGAAAAAAACACACACACACACTACACACACTTACACACACTTACACACACAGTCTCACACACATCACACACACACCCCACACATATACACACACAGTCTCACACACACACACCCCACACACATACACACACAGTCTCACACACATCACACACACACACACTTACACACACAGTCTCACACACAGTCTCACACACATCACACACACACACACCCCACACACATACACACACAGTCTCACACACACACATCACACACACAGTCTCTCACACACACAGTCACAGACACATACACACACACACAAGCACACACAGACATATACAAACACACATACACAGTCACATTCACAGATAACACACACCCAAACACACACACACAAACACACACACCACACACACACACACGCAGTCTCACACATACACACACACCCCACACATATACACACAGTCTCACACACACACACACACACACGCAGTCTCACACATACACACACACCCCACACATATACACACAGTCTCACACACACACACACACACACACACACATACACACACACACATATATAACTTTCTGTCTCTAATGACTGCCAGACACTCTTGGCTTCTGCCAATTAAAAGAGTGGAAAGTAGAAGTAAGCGGGTGCAGAGTGAGGGGGGGATATAGAGGGAGCGGAGCCCCGCAAAGCTGAGCATTAAAAGGCATAGCTGACTAAAGGAGCTTTATTCAGACAGCAAAAAAAGGGAAATTAAAGCAGGTCTCGCTTTTCTTCCTTAAAGCACTGAAGCATATTAGCTAGTGCCCAGTTCATGCCAGATAATTCACCAGAGCCTGAGGTATGTGGGGTGAAACACAGAAGTCTTCCCTGTGCTCCTCTGCTTTTCTCAGAGTGCTGTGCTGCCTCTTTGGCTAAAGAATGAATCCTGTCATCCTGTTTTCTCCTGCTTACTCTGCGCTTAGTAGATGAAGCTGTCCAGGCCGGGCGTTTTTGCTGCCATTCATTAACTGGTTTTTTTGACACTGAGGTCATCCCCGCATCCTTCAGAATGCATTTCAAACCTCCTCTGACTGTCACGGACTGCACCAGTTCCACAGGAAGTGATTTTAGCCACATCCTTCCAGCAACACCAATGGGGGAGGATTTTTGCGATAAAGTCGGTAGTAACACAGTGATTAGCATGATAAACATTCTTCAGTCACCAAAGGGGGGGGGGGGGTTATTGAACACCTCTTTAGCTAGTTAATCCACGAGAGGTTAAGGTGAATGTGTGCATTCGCACACCGGTGTGTCCCCTTGTAGGTGGTGAGTAGACAGAAAATTCAGGTCCAGAGAGTACAAGTCCAGACCAAAATTTTGTTTCAACCAACTAGTTGAGCATAAAGAGTCACAGAATACTCAACTGGTTGGTTAAAACAAAATCCCGGTCTGGACTTTTACTCTCTGGACCTGAATTAGCCACCTCTGCCTTTAGGCTGTTGTGTAGTTGGATGTTGTCAGGATGCAGGCTGCTTTATGTGTAACTCCCATTCATCGCCGAGCGGCAGATGAAGCACAGCTGGAGCGGCAGCTTGTCAGTCCTTAGCCTCGTCACTGCCGCAGTGATATTCTGCAGACATTCTCCAGCTCTGTCATTTCCTTCATCCAACAGATGGTCACAGAATGATCTCAACTAGAGCTCATAACAAACAGGCTGCATTTTTTATTTCTTTTTTCTTGGGGAGGAAAATGTCGGGGGGGAGGGGGGGGTGAAAGAATGCTGATGAACTTACGGTACAGTTGAGAGCGCAGATGTTCAACGCCGGGGATAAACGGCAGAATTCCCTCAGCGTGGTCCTCACCCGTTTTGTCCCTCACACCCCCGTGAGGCAGTGCCACGCTCGTGGCCGGTTGCGAGTCTGAGCCCATGGTTCCTGGACTTTCCGGCGTGGTGCATGAACGATCCATGTGGGCGTGCGCTTACACGTAGGTGATGCTGTAAAAACCGATGCCCAAATTTCCCGAATTCAGTCCAGGCCGCCGCATTCTGTGGTTGGTCCTCAGGTATTTTGCTTCTGCACTGGTGTTCCTCACTGGTGCTTCTGGGTAGTATTACCATCTGTATACCTCTGCTGCGCCTCCTTGAAGCTTTCTGAAGCTGCAGTGGCGATTAGGTAATACACAATGAGCTAAACTCTAGCCGATGTAACAGGCGGTGCAGCTGATATAGACGGGCTGTGGAAGGCAGATGCTTCCTTTCTCTTTGGAGGTCAGTTTTTGGGTCAAAAGTTTTCCCCCTCTCTCCATCTCCCTTCCTCGCTCACACTCCAGAAGGTTTTACGCTTTTTAATTAGCCGACAATGAGCGGCGAATCTCAATTACTGTCCTTTCCGCAAGGTCAGTGCTAAGGCGGGTGACAGCGGGGCGTGCGGGGGGGTGGGGGAGTGATGGGGGGTGGTGGCAGGGCAAGGGGAGGTGGAGGCATCTGTTGTGACATTTCTGCACCCATCCAACAAAGACTCTCTCTCTCTCACACACACACACACACACATTGACACTAAGGCGTATGCCATTCATTTCACTTTAAATCACTGAACTTCCATAGAACATTTCCCACCATGCACAAATGAAAGTGTAGATTGCACAAAAAAAATACATTTAATAACTTTATCAGCATTATTGTTGTGATTCTTTTTGATAAGGTATAAAAAATGGAGAAATAAAAGACAGATCGGGGAGGAAGCTGTAGGTATTTTGGGAGCATGATCAGAGGATGATTGCTTCCGTTACTCACTATCCCTCCCAGCTGGGACAGGCAGCTCTGCAATAAATCACTGATATTGTGCAACTGATTTCCTCTCTGAAAGCCTCTCAAAGTTTGTTTCTCTTTTTCTGTGTTTTTGCCCAAGAAGCCAAGAAATTGAAGACAAGTACCATGTGTTGCCTGTGAGGATAAACTAAGCTGTGGATGTTTGTATGGGCTATAGGTCATTAATCGAGCCTGTGCTGAGTCAGGACTTCATTGTTAAGCACTACTGATTAGAAGATATATTTAACTAAGTTGGTGAAGTTCATGTGAATTTATGTAACTATAAAGCAGGGGTGGGCAATCTTATCCGCAAAGGGTCCCTATGCGGGTTTTCGCTGCAACTCCCTAATTAGATTACTCATTAGAGGACTGACTGGCTGAAGAGTCCTCACACCTGGGTTTGAACAGCTGACCTACAGGTTATCCCAAAAACCTGCATACACACCGGCCCTTTGCGGATAAGATTGCCCACCCCTGCTATAAAGGTTTTTTTTCCCCCTGAATTAATTCAGGTGAAATGTCCTAATCTTAGGCACTATAGGGACTTCCTGGGACTGAATTTGTGAAAGTTCTTCTCTGAGCCTCCTGTTTCCTTGGAGACCATTTGTCTGTGTGTCATAATGAGAGAACATTGAGGAAAATGACAAGATGCGTCCATTTGAGAGAATGCAGGCATATGTGAACATTAAAATACGTTGACAAACTGATGAGGTACATAAAAAAAATCCTCATACATAAAATGCAAAAATAACAATTGTATAAAACATTTGAAATGATCTACAATCAAATATGGCACAATAAATCAGTGTCCTGATAAGAGGCTCCTGTCCTCTGGCTGTTGCCAGGCAGTGACTGACAACCTGGACGAGCCGAGACAGCAAGGGAATGAGGATAGGAATTGGGCTGCCTATCGAGT